TATGTTTTATTGGATAGATAGCGTTACGGTGATACTTCAGCATTCGGTATTTTGTTTCCGTCATGATCTTGTTTTGAGAAAATTAATAAGTAACATTGTATTTACACACTATGATATTTTTATTAGAACTATATTTGAGCTACGATGGGGAGTAAAGAAGTAAATACATTTAGGCACAATGATGTGTTTTTTGAATTGGTCAATTCGAAACAATATTATTAGTCAAAATTTAAAATATTTTATAGAAAATGTAGGCAAAACTTAATGAGATAATCTATAAAACGCCAACACTTCAAATAATTGTATTAAATCAAAACTGATGTTTACTTTAAAAAAATCTTAACTAAGTTAATGGGCATTAATGAATTTACTATTTTTTCGAAATTATTTTAATTTTACAGTTATCTGAGTTATATTACAGGCTCAAAAGTTCCCTTAAAAACCGAGACAACATATTAAAAATTGATACATATTTTTTAAAATTACGGCACGCGTTGATTTTCTAAGAAATATTAGAATTAGTTCCTTATAATTTTAAGTATCACGTACTGCGTGTAGAAAATTAATACATTTTCAAAATATTAATAAACAAAAAAAAAAAAATGAAAATGTAATTTTAAGTTTTGTGAGAACGGTGTGTTCTTTTGTATTCAGTTTCAAAACGATCATATTTGGGGCAAAATGATCGGACTGGGGTCATAAATTGGGTTGAACATTCGTGGCAAATGTTCCTTTAAAACGATGGTTATTGGTTTGTATCCATTCAAATTTGAAAACTCTTTTCCTTCTTTGGTGAATGCTATCGAGTGATACCCAAGTACATTCCAAATCAACTATCAATTAATGATGAATGATCCGAGTGCTCGAGTCTAGTTTAAGGTGAAAATTCGTTGTCTTTGAAATGAAAATTAATTTTTAGAAGTTCATCTCACAAACGTAATACCTAATAATTACTAAGCCCAAGACTCTTTTTAAAATCGTGCAATAAAACAAACATTTTATTCAAACATAAGCTAACGTTCCTCAGCAGGTGTTGAACTGTAAAAATAATATAATGAAATAACTTTGAGAGCGACGCTTATGAAAATCAATCTGGTAGCTACCATAATTTTTGTAATACGACTGACTGCGCGCTAAGTCCTAAGATTACAAATACCATTTCCTCTCATTGTCAAAGGAAACTTCTAATTCGTGTTTTTTAAACAGGTTTCGTGACGGTTTTGAAACGGCGAACAATGAGGAATTATTAACATAATATATATTATTAAAAACGATTTGAAAATCAATACCGCATTCAACTATGGAGACGGATGACGTTTATAACGATTTGCAAGACGACCGGCATTATTTATTTGTCGAAATCTCATTGTTTTTCAATATGGTTATCCTTGAACTGTCCCGCACTCTTCTACCGGCTGAAATCAAAATTTACTGGCATTTCACATTTCTTGAATTGTTTCTCAACATTGCTGTTGTACAAACCGTTCTCGTATTTACATTTGCTCAGACTTAGTAGAAAAAAGCTAGTTTAAATTATAAGCTTTATATTGTAATGCTAACCAGCAAACTAATGCAGTCTATGCAATCGATATAAACAGAGAGCACAATTAAACACTAAATACAAACATTGTTAAAATACATTGTTGGTCAAAAATGTGTTATAAAATACTATTAACGCCACTCTATTTATCTGCTAATGGGTAGGTGAAAAATATTGGAAAATGATTTTGTAATTAGTAAATTTAATCGAGTCAGTAAGCTCAACTGTAAGAGGAAAATATTATTTCAAATTAACAAAATGTATAGTTTTTTCTTTAATTTTACATAATAATTTCACAAATTAACGGTTAGTTACAAATATATGGTCGGACAAAGTTGAGCCAGGTCCTTTTTTAAAATTAGTTTAAATGAAGATAATTAAAAAAATTAAGTAGTTTTGTTAAATTAAAAAAATTTATTTTAATAATAAAAAATTAAGTTAAGTTTACAGCTTATTCTAAAATTTATCTTATAAACAATTTTTAATTTTTATACAGAAACTTGAAATAATTTTATTAACAATAATTGTATATTTTTCATAAGAAGTCGTATTTGATAATAATACGAACTATATCATGGTAGACAATCTATTTTATATTACAAACAAATGATAATCTTTTTTTTCAAAAACCTAAATTTTAATGACAATATAAAATTAGAATTTTCTGGTTTAGAATAGAAAAATATACTTAACGTAATATATAACAATATATAAACTAATATTGTTAGATGAAAAAGAAAAGTCGACGACTTTTTAGTTTTGACAAGCTGTGTAAATTTATTGTTTTATAATTTATGAATAGTTATTTCTAGCACATAAATATATACATGTTTTAACTTTTTTTAGAGCATAGATTCCCAGGTCCTTATTAACTAATTATATTATTTATTGTTGTTAGCTTGATATAAAAAAGCAAGAATTAGAGAATAATAATTAAATCAGCAGATTTTATTTTGTTATATCTATATATCTACGCAGTGTACAGGGTGGCCGGTTAACGTAAGACATTCATTTTCTTTAAAATAAATTTAATTTTCTAGTTTTACTTTTTGGAAAAACATTTTGTTTATACTATTTTCCAGTGATATAAAATATTTGCTTCTTTACTATTTTCCAGAACTCTATCAACTTATAAAACTGAAATTGGCTACCAAATATATATAATACATAATATATAATATAATCAGTCGGTAATCAGTTTTAAATATTTACTTTTAAAGTTGTTAAATTTTAAAATATTATTTTTATTCGCGCGCATTACTAAACTGCATTTTACCTTCTGTCCTAAATTTATAACTGTAATCACATCCAAATAAATTATTTATAACTGGTTATGGACCAGTCAGGTATTTCGGGATATTTTTATTAATTTAAAAACTTCATTAAGTATGCACGTTATTATTAAAGTTTCAAAAGAACTCTAGTATTTACCAAAAAATATAAACATTTGAGTATGGTTGAATACTGTAAAATAACATCAACTAAAATATCTCCAAAAAGAAAAACTACAGAACTGTAGAGAAAATGAGTGTTTTTCGTTAAATGAATTATCCGGTATATACCTATATAGTTCTTGTATTTTCCCAACAAGAAAACTCATTATTTTGTCTCCCTTTTTTATTATAGCCATCTAAGTTAATGTTTGATGTCACGTGTAAGATAAATTTAAACGCCGCTATCGCCTCTCTATATCGATTGATTCCTTTGTAAATTAACCTATTTACCGAACCCATAATTTCGGTACCTGTTTTTCGGTAAACGATTAGTATTGAATGTCAACTTAAATGGCCTGGGGTCACCCGAAATTCCTGTCTACGTCCTACGTTCTCTACACTTACTCTTGGTCACACTCACACAACACACATTTGTGTATTATGATATGTGATCTCCTATATAACAATATGATTCTATGTAAAAGTAAAAATAACAATAATATGTTCGAATAGGCTCAAAATAGAGGCCAAACCAAAAATAATTATAATTTACCAAAATCCTCGTTAAATCTTCATATAGAATATTATCCACACAATAGAATTTACCTGATGGTCGAAAATAGTATTATTATATTTTCATAATATACATCATACATCAGTTTTGAATATAAAATTATGTTACTCTTGTATTATATTTTAATGGCTTTCCCACGATAATAATACTTAACGCCGTCAACATCAAACTGTCTATATCGTGCCTTTTGAATCAGTTTTTTTTAAACAGGTCTAGTGTATACATAATATGTTATTACCGATCACAAATATTTTCATATCCATCATAATATACGGCGCAGTGTGCTTTAGATACCACCTTATGTAATCATTATGGATCAGATAACCGCGTTGTTTAAATGCTCATCAACTGTTAGTGTCATATTTTATAAAGTGATTTTTCAATTTACCCTTGTAGCTTGTACCACTTGAGTCCATTTACCATACAGTCGACTAAAAGCTTGTTAAATATGACACAGTATTAATATAAATGTACATTAAAAATGTATAGGTACGTTTAACCAAAGGTCTTACAAGTAAGGTGAAGTAATTACCATACACAGAATGGTTTTTTACATTATTTTGTAAGTTGGCTGATTACATACACAGTCTAATAACTCAAATGAAAAATGATATTATCAAATTTAGTAGACTTATCATGTTTAACTTTCAAATCGTTTATGTAAAATAATGAAGTATTTAATCTGACTAGTGTACAGTCAACACATAGCTCATTCGCGTATGACTCAAATCTCGAAAAGTTTTGTCAAGTCCACTTTCCAAACTCTTTCCTGTTTCCTTCCGAGTTTACCCATTCATATTTTGATCTATCATTTCTAGGAAGATGGACCAGTATTTTTAGTTTTTATACATTGCGTCATTGTATTGATGTTAATAACTGCTGTTAATCGACAATATTATTGTCTAACTTAAAAAGGTTACAAAATAATCCATTCGTTTTACACAGGAAGCCAAATGTATCCCAAGAGTCGTATGATAGTTGCTCTTGGAACAATGAAAAGTTTAGGTCACTTGGCCTTTTGTCACTTAGTGTTACTAAACGCACACCGTCCATACTAATTGCCTTTGTTTTGTTGACCAACTGCCTTTATAGTCATTTCAAACGTGTTTATACCCAGCGATGAATCAAGAGAATTAGCATTTGCTGTCCAATTTCTGAGCTGGCAAAAAAAAAAAACTCTAGTTATTGTTAATTCTGTTCAATTTACATAAGTTTGTATTTGCTTTTAATTTATGGACTTTGGTATTTTATTTGGATTGCTTATATTTTCGGTGCTAAATATTGATTAAAAATAATAAAGTAAAATTATGATTTTTCGTTGTCTTGAAAAAATATTGATTTTCGACTACAAATCGCATTTGGGTTCCCTGCTCTTAACACTGTTAATGGACGGAATATTATATTATGTTGTGGTTATTAATATTATGGTTTTTCTTTGATTTTGTTTTTGCAGATTTTTTGATTTATATAGTGATGTCCCACTGTTGATGAACAAGCCTCGAACCGTTTGCCATGAGATTCGGCCGAAGATATTTGGCTCTAATGTTTACAAACATCATCAACCCTTCGTCAGAGCACGGCCCTTTGGCCCCTTTGGCGTCGTTCGAATCGCCTGGTTCCGGCTTCGATTCGAACAGCACGAGGTCCGAGAAGAACTGCTCTTTTCGCGACTTCGTCCTGAGCGACGTGAGTACAACAACACATTTACTAAGAAAAAATAGATATAATTGGGATGATGTGGATGATCAAGGTGATATACTCCCCTTCTAGTTTTATTTTTTGTTAAAAATCTTGCCCATCAAACATTTTATTTATATCAACGTTGTATTCATAGAAATACTACTGTTAACGTACTAGAAGTTTTGGACGAAATGTCTCAACAATTTAACGTTTTATTATATTACCTATAAATATAAATAATATTACACACCTAGTAATAATAATAATAATATATAAACACATGTAAGGCAATCTATATTTTAATCTAAAAACATGTTCTGATAAAAAGCATACTTTTGAAAACGGACTTAGAGTACATTTTGTCTCGTCGAAACTTGAAAACTAAAAGCTATAATTCACAAGACAACATAAATTATTACAGTTTTATTCTAAAACTTCTGGAGAGGGGACATAGATGGTGCCCCTTATGTTTGAAGTTATTCCAACGGGTTTTAAACGTTTTATTCGATTAATGCTCAACTTTGTCTATCGACTTTGGGTGTGAATTTATCATTGTTTTATTTTAAAATTGTTGCATAAATGCAGACATGATATTTGTCATAACAATAGTTATGGTAATCGATTTTTATCTTTTTCAGAAATGGAGACAACTCTTTGATAAGGTAAGGCGAAGCCCTGGAACGTCCGTTGTATTTTATTTTTATTGCTGTTATTAATTTCAAAACTCGCGCGTGCTTAACAGTACGATCCCGAGGGATTCGGAGAGATCCCGTGGAACGATTTCCTGGTTTTGCTGGACACTCCAGAATTTGTCGAGATGATTTCCCGGGAGAAACGAGAATTGTTCATCGAAAGATGTCGTCAATCTAGCAACACGTCGGCCATCACTTTTCAGGATTTCGTCAATATCGTAAGTACATTTTACTGTGCAACCGGTACAAAGCTGTATAATTGATATCACTCACACTTAACGCTATATGTGATATCGTCATGTACCATATCTAAGAACGAGCATGGACCAGTTGTACTTAAGGATAATGTACAGCGAATGCGCTCATTTTATTTAACAATTTTTTTTTAGCTTGACTAAAACAGAGTAACAAGTGTACAAAAAAACCGTTTTACACGAAAAACACTTAAATTCTTAATATATTTTTTGAAATTGGTTTGACTGTATTACTGCGATACTTTTGTCTGCACTACCTTTGCCTACGATTTTACCCATTTGAGATTTTACATTGTAGGTACTATGTATGAAAACATGTTCTAATGCAATCGGTTAACTGTCGATTATAATAAAAGACTTCACTATAGTATGTTTGTATAAGAGATAATTTGTTTTTTTTCAATAGAAATTCCTCTCGAAAATTACCAAGTGTAAGATTATTGTATTGTTGTTGTTGGTATTTTTTTGGTAAATTTGACTGTATTTATAAAAAAAAACCCCCTTAACGTATAATCCCATTGTCGTTCACACGAAACGACAAAGGCTTAAGAGGATATCTTCGTCGGTGGTGGTTGTGGTGGTGGAACCATTGGGTTATTACTATTTTCTCCATTAATTCCGTCCATTACACGTCATCGTTTTCGTGACAACATGTTGTGACTCGGTGGACGTGCAAGTTACTGTATAGAAAACTCTTCTTATAGATAATATTATATACCTCCAACGTATATTCAATTAGGATCTCCTACCGCCGCCCTAACGATAATCACCTCTCTCTTCGGCCGCCACCGCCGTTCTGGTAATGAATGTGATGCAACGGCAAAGAGACCGCCACCGCCGCCTTGTTGTTGTGTTTATAATAACTTCACATAGGGTACACAATATACTTATATCTATAATATGTGAGAAACAGACGTTATTATCGGATACGTCGGTGGACGGTTTAGATAATATTATTATTATTATTATTACTGAGTGTATAGACTACGACGGAGGGTGGGGGTGTGACGGCGATTGTTAGCGGCGATGGTTGAAAATCATCTAAACAACATTACTATTATACTGCTTTTATTGTAACTACCAGGTTTTTTTTTTATTACAATTTTCGTTTTTATTACATACTGTGTTTTTTTCTTCATATTTTCACCTCCGGCGACCACCGCCTTTGCACGATTGTGTATGACAATTACCTTTTTTTAACAGGATAGATTACTACTTGGGCCACACAAACGTTAAACGCATAAATCAACTCTAAACCGATATTATACAACATTACCTATTATTATAAACGTTAACTTGCACTGACAGCAGAGCTGATATCTTTTTCAAACAAATTGTTCACATTGAAAAACCTCTCTCCTTATTACCTGATTATGTTGTCATCTTTTGATTTCTAAACGCCGACCTGTATGTTAAGCAATCGTATTATCATTAAACGTCTTATCATTTAACAATAACTGCGATTCGGAAAATTGTAATGTAGGAATTTTTTTTTTTACATATTAAAAAGAAGACGAAACAAGTATATAAACACGTGAGAAAATAATTAAGTTGATCCTGAAGAAATGTTTTTTTTTCTTCTAAACGTTGTGCAACAGAACATAAAAACGATGGCATTAATGACGAAAATACAGATGGAAAAAATGCATTTTATCGTTTGGCTTTTTCCCTGTAACATGTTTCTTCTGTAACGATCAAACTAAAAAAAAGCCTTCATTATTCGATTTTTTTTACAGTTTAAAGTGATTAATTATAATATGGGTAATCAATACGTTATTTACGTTGGTTCTACAATGTCTATCAGTTATTATTGAATATATTACTATTCTATATGTACTGTGGGAACCGTATATGTGATGTCCGTTAACGACCTTCTTATACATTTATTACATCCAATAATACTATATCAAGTATATACTTACAGTTTTGTAAACATCGCTTAATAGCATACGAATTATACAAACGGCTCACTGGAACGTTTTCCAACCATCGAAATTAATATTTTAGTCGGTGTTTAATGCTATTGGAATTTTAAATGAATAGTGCATTTGAATTTTGATGATGCGTCTAGTTTCAAAACCGGCTAAAAGACATTTTGAAAACGTGTTTTTTTGTTTTTGTTTTTAAGTGGACACACTGTAGTACATGGTATGTAAAACTAATATTGAATGTCAAATAAAGATTATAATTTACAACTAACTCAAACTCGGTCATCTGAAGAATTTTTTTTTTTTTTGTGAAAATGTTCAAAAATTGATTTTAACTGGTTTTGAAACTAGACGCCTCGTTTGTCAAACGTACTAAGTACCAAATGATAACATTTTTGTTTTATAATTTAATTTTCTATTTCATTTACCATCAAAAACAATTTAGCATGCTTTCAGGTTATTATTAATAAATAAAAAAGCCAGTAGGGTCAGAGTATACTGGGCGGGGTAAGGGGTACATCACAGGTCTTGAGTAATTATTACTAAATATGATAAAATCAATTTCGAATGAAAGCATAGATAAGAATCTGTAGAATTAGAAAAAAATCGAAATAAGCAAACTTTTAAAAGCTGTTATGGTTAAAATTATATGCCGAGCATTAGCATTATTACATGGTTAAGGTCGATCGTCCGTCTAAAATCTTATAATAATTTGTTGAACTATAATTTATTTATTACAATAACTGATGTAAAAAAAATATTGATCGTTTAAATGAAAATTAATTTTTTTAATATTAAGTTTAAATTTCCTCTTAATGTTAATTGTTATCAATAAAGTACTGTTTGATTCATTAACGATTAATGAATTCAATTAGAGCAGAACACAAATTACAGTATCCACTCGAAGCCACTTGTGTATAATATATAGGCATTTTGTTTGACATTAATGGAGTAACTAAGTTTTTTTTCACTATTGTTCTGTAATAATTAAATTAATAAATACCGTTGAGCCATCATATTATCCAATATAGACTATTAATAAATACCGTTTTACAAGATTTTAACGCCATAATGAACGCAAACAAATCCACATGTTTTATGTAAATCATAACCATGTATGTAGTCATATAATAGTTTGTAATCCGCCTACGCCCTACAGGCATATATATCACAAAAAAAAAATGTTCAATGACAATTCGAAAAACGCCAAGAAAAAGCCATTTATTTCCATGTAAATGTAAACCAGTTAAGATTGCGCTCTTAATTCTTTTATTGTGTCATCATTGCCAGAACGTCCTTCAGTTTACAACCAAATGCTTTCTTAAATAATTGTCGAGGAATAATAAATCACATTTTGGCCGTGACCATAAATATTGTCAAGGAGGGTTACTAGAAAAAAATAAAGAAAAGTGTCCTTAATTAGGCACCAAACCATCAACCACCCTTTACGTTGACAATATTCTATAATGTTTATTTTTTCCAATTTGGGGGTGGGATTTTCAGAGCCGATATAGGGCAAATAACGAACCAGAGACACTTGTCGTGGTATCGATACCGCAATGCTATGTTGAGTGCGTTATTATTATTTCCGTTGGCCGTTACATATACAGGATATTTTTTTAACCGCAAGCTATTCATTAAAGAATATTTTACTCAACATTTTGACTGGTTGATAACCAGTTTTGAACAACCATTTTTAAAGTTATAACAGTTTAAAAGTTAGGGCGGGAGGGAAAGTGAGCGAATATAGAAAATAATACTTCACTCTACCATTGCTCCTGCTCTAAACTTAAAACTTCAATAACTTCAAAAATAGATATTTAAAACTGGTTATCGACCAGTCAAAATTGTTAGTACATTATTTCCAACTGAAAAAGTAATAAAATGTATGCCTTACGATTTAAGTTTGAAACGTTAATATAAAAACAATTAGTTTGGAAGGGTATAAAAATTGGTTGGATAGTTGGTAGGATCATACAAATTTGTCGAAAATTGAGATCACATTATATAAAAATGTTATAAAAAAAAAAATATTCATTTATCAATTGAGATATTGACTGGCTCGCGGTAAAAAAATCACCTTGTATTGTATTAGATGTAAACGAACTTTTTCTCGTGAGCATTTTGCACGTCTTGCCCGTGAATTATGGCAAGGACCGTTGTCGTCCCACGCGAGCGACACAACGTGAATTTATATTGTAGCGTTTAACCAAAAAGTTACAAAAAAACTAGTTCGGAATGAAAAAAAAAAAACGAAGAGACATTGCTCCGGTTTAAAACCACACACACACTTGGATCTCATGCATACTTTTTGTACTTGTTGCAGCCGAAACGTTTCCGAGTGTGCTCTCACGACCCGTTGTGTATAAATCATATTATTATACGATACGTACATAATTTATTGTAAAAAACCTATTACAAACGTAAAACAATACTTGTTCCGATGACTTCGCGGTGGCGGCGATGATGCGGTTCACAGATTCACGGTCGCGTTCATGATACCGATATTTACAATTTCTTTCGATACGGTTTCCACCGGCCGCCGCCAGTAAAAAATACATAAAAGAAAGCGGCATTCGTCTGTTATGTGTGTCTATATAGGCATATATTAAAAAAGAAAAAAAAAACAACAAAATCTCCTCGTTTACACGAATATAAAAAAATATACACACAGACGACGGTGTAGGCCAACCTAATACCGTCGTCCCGACCGAGAGCACCCACGCAACGACGTCGGTTGTCGCCGCATTAATTTATTCTCAATGGTCTTCCTTAATTTTCGCTCCAGTGACGTTGTAGGTAGGCAAGTTGATTTACGACCAGTGTATCGCAGAGGCAATACACGAGAGCTATACAAAATCAGAGTACACGACATCAGAGGGAAAGAGAGAGAGAGAGAGAGAGAGAGAGATAGAGAGATAGGCATAAGATCGGCGAAAATATTACGGAGATGGCAGAACCAGATAAAGCGACGGCAGGTCGTTGTGTGCCATCTCTGCCGGCAACTGTCTAATCTACAAATCTTAAATTTATCAT